CCCCTCCCGCCCCTCCCCCCGCAGCTACGTCGTGCTGGACCTGATGGAGAGCGACCTCCACCAGATCATCCACTCCTCCCAACCGCTGACCTTGGAGCACGTCCGCTACTTCCTCTACCAACTCCTCCGCGGCCTCAAGTACATCCACTCCGCCAACGTCCTCCACCGCGACCTCAAACCCTCCAACCTCCTGGTCAACGAGAACTGCGAGCTCAAGATCGGCGACTTCGGCATGGCGCGCGGCCTGGGCGCCGACCCGCGCCACGCCAAGGCCTTCCTCACCGAGTACGTCGCCACGCGCTGGTACCGCGCGCCGGAGCTGCTGCTGTCGCTGCACCGCTACACGCGCGCCATCGACATGTGGTCGGTGGGCTGCATCTTCGCCGAGATGTTGGGGCGCCGCCAGCTCTTCCCCGGCAGGAATTACGTCCACCAGCTGCAGCTGATCATGGCGGTGCTGGGCACGCCGCCGCCCGGCGTCATGGCGGCCATCGGCGCCGAGCGCGTCCGCGCCTACGTGCAGAGCTTGCCGCCGCGCCCGCCGGTGCCGTGGGAGAGCCTCTTCGGCGACGCCGAGCCGGCGGCGTTGGCGCTGCTGGGGAGGATGTTGCGTTTCGACCCGCGGGAGAGGGTGGGCGTGGCCGAGGCGCTGCGCCACCCATTTTTGGCCAAATACCACGACCCCGAGGACGAGCCCGAGTGCGTGCCGGCGTTCGACTTCGCCTTCGACCGGCAGGCGCTCACCAAGGAGGAGATCAAGGCGGCCATCGTGGCCGAGATCGCCGATTTCCACGCCCGCCGTGACGGCATCCGGCGGCAGATCGCGCCGGCGCCGCCCGCCGCCGTGGTGGGCGTGGCCAACGCGGGCAACAAGGCCGGCGTCGACGTCAACATGGCCAACGTCGACGCCGCCAACAACGCAGTCAACGCCGACCTCAACGCGGCCATGGCGACCGTGACGGCCGCCAACGGCCCGGCGTGGCCGCCCTGCGCCGACGTGGACATGCCCAGCCCGGGCCCCGCCCCCGACTGCCCCATGGACTCGCCACGGGTGAAGGCGGAGCCCGGTGCGCCGGCGGCACCGGCGGCGGCGCCCAAGAGGGACGGCGCCATCTCGGACGACACCAAGGCGGCGCTGAAGGCGGCGCTGCTGAAATCGGCCATGAGGAACAAGAGTAAAGGTGGGGGGGGTTGGGTTGGGTTGGGTTGGGTTGAGTTGGGTTGGATTGAGTTGAGTTGATTGGTTTGGGTTTGGTTGAGTTGATAGATTTGGGTTGGGTTGAGTTGAGTTGGGTTGGGTTGGGATGGTTGAGTTTAGTTGAGTTGGGTTGAGTTGATTTATTTGACTTTGGTTGAGTGAGTTGATTAGTATGAGTTGAGTTGGGTTGGGTTGAGTTGGGTTGGGTTGAGTTGGGTTGGGTTGAGTTGGGTTGGATTGAGTTGATAGATTTGGGATGGGTTGAGTTGGTTTGAGTTGGGTTGGGTTTGGTTGACTTGGGTTGAGTTGGGTTGGCATGGGTTGTGTTGCGATGGTTGAGTTTGATTGAGTTGGGTTGAGTTGAGTTGGGTTGGGTTTGGTTGGGTTTGGTTGGGTTGGGTTTGGTTGGGTTGAGTTGGGTTAGTTGAGTTGCGTTGAGTGGACTCAAGCTCAGTTGGGTTGACTTGGTTGAGTTCCGTTGAGTTGCATTGAGTTGCGTTGAGTTTGGCCAAATCTTGGCCTTGCCTTGACTTCCCTTCCGTCGCGTTGACTCACCTTCCCATTGGCTGGCCCCTCCCCCTTTCCCCTCCCCCCAGACCCGCCCTGCGCCGCCCCGGAGGCGCCCGAGGGCCGCAAGCCGGTGACGGCGGCCGAGCGCCAGCGCGAGCGCGAGGAGAAGCGCCGGCGCCGGCAGGAGCGCGCCAAGGAGCGCGAGAAGAAACAACGCGAGCGCGAGCGCCGCGAGCCACGCCCCCGGGGGGAGGGGCTTCACGGCCTGGTCCTCACCGACGACGACCGACACCTCCTGGAGCGCTGGACCAAGATGGCCGACGGCGCCCCGCCCCGCCGCCCCCCTGCCCGGCCCCACCCCCGGCGCCGCCGGCCGAGGCGTGGGCGGGTCCTGAGGCGTGGGCGGAGCCTCCGGGCGGCGCCGGCGACGCTGACGTGGCCACGGTGACGCAGCAGCTGCAGAAGTCGCAGGTGAGGAGAGCGGGGCCAACCCCAGGGGGGGGGTCTCGGGGTGGCCACGCCCCCTGCTCAGCGCCACGCCCCCTCAGGTGGAGGATCCGCTGCCCCCTGTGTTCCCGGTGACGCCCAAGGGCAGCGGCGCCGGCTACGGCGTCGGCTTCGACCTGGAGGAGTTCCTGAGCCAATCGCTGGACATGGTGGGCGAGCCCAAGGACAGGTGGGGACGGCCGGGGGCGCCTTGGGTTGGGTTGGGTTGGGTTGGTTGGGTTGGGTTGGATTGGGTTGGGTTAGGTTGGGTTGGGTTGGTTGGTTTGGGTTGTGGTGGTTGGGTTGGTTTGGGTTGGGTTGGTTGGGTTGGGTTGGGTTGGGTTGGGTTGGGTTGGGTTGAGTCGCATTGAGTTGGGTTCAGTTGGGTTGGTTGAGTTGGGTCAAGTTGGTTGAGTTGGGTTGTGTTGAGTTGGGTTGATTGAGTTGAGTCATGTTGGGTTGAGTTGGATTGGGTTGGGTTGGGTTGAGTTGGGTTGAGTTGAGTTGCATTGGGTGGGGTTGAATTGGGTTAAGTTGGGTGGGGTTGGGTTGGGTTGGGT